CTCTCTCTCTCTCTCTCTCTCTCTCTCTCTCTCTCTCTCTCTCTCTCTCCTCTCCTCTCTCTCTCTCCCTCCCTCCCTCCCTCCTCCCTCCCTTCTCTCCTCTCTCTCTCTCTCTCCTCTCTCTCTCTCTCTCTCTCTCTCTCTCTCTCTCTCTCTTCTCTCTCTCTCTCTCTCTCTCTCTCTCTCTCTCTCACTCTCTTCTCTCCCTCCCTCTTCTCTCTCTCTCTCCTCTCTCTTGGCCTGGGCCCCGTATTTATCTGTTTATGTTTGTGTCTTTCAGTATTTTTTTAGGCTTTTTATGTTTGAATGATACTTTTTTGTTAATTACGCCAGTTCAACACTAATAGTTGTAATGATTATGTCGCTAATAACACAAACAACAAAAGATAATACCGACGTATTGGAATTTAAAGAATAGAACAATTGCAAAGCCAAATGTAAATGTAACGCAGATGTAAAGAAAAAAAGGTGGGGGTGGAGGGCAGGGGGAGTATTATATATCCCAGCACTTCTGTATACGAAAGCTCCTCTTTAAAATATTACTGCGTCAGAGCTCTAATTAACAAGGTCTGCGCCCTCCTCTTTTCAGGAAGAGGCTAGGAGGGGGGGGGGGAGAAAAAGACTCAGTTCCGCTTGTTCTTAGAGAAAAGAAATGTTAAGTAAAAGAAAAAAATGGATTGTGTTAGTTTTATGGGGGTGTAGGAGAGGTCATCTTATTGTTTTATTTATTATTAATTATTTTATTGTATTATTATTTTTTGTTTTTGTTTTTATGTTTTCCCTTTTCCATTATTTTTAAATTCTAAGAAGTGCCGTCAAAATTCTTATTATTATTATTGCTTTCCTTTGTTTTTTTATGTGAGGCGTTTCTGACTTTTCATTGGCTGTGTGTTGACGCGGGGTCGAAGGTAATGAGGATAGCATGAGTAAAGTGCCTTTTCAATATAATTTTTAAACTTTTGCCACTGTTTAAAGAAAGATTTATGGGTTGATTGTGGTAGTGCTTAGATATGTCACTGTGATGATAGTGGTTCAATCTTTAATTTTCTGTTGATTAGGGTTGTAGGTGGTTGCATGGAAGATTGTGCGTATAGTGTGGGTATGTTGTATTTTTATCTCACTTGGGCTGTGAATGTAAGACTTCTTGGTCTAAGATTATAAGGATTTTGTGGGTAGAGGATTGAAGATAATGAGGATATTTCATGGCTGGAGGTCAGGCGTATGATTATGAGGATATTTTTTTCCTTTTTTGTGTTGAGTTTATCGGGGCTTGATAGTACACGAGGATAGTGTTGTGGGTACTGTGGATATCTCGTTCTTAATCCGGGAAGCGTGATCGTCGGAACTCAAAGGGAATCAGTCAGCGTGAGGATATGCCAAGAAATTCATTCAGCGACGTGTAATCACCTCCTGAATGGCCGTAATTCCGATGGGCGTGTCTTGCGTCTAATGAGAAATCTTTGATTGCACGAGGCGCTGGGGAAACCTCGCAGGCAAAATCGGTCTTCCCTCAGCGGGGGGAATTTCTCCGTCGAGGGGTGCATGGGGAAAGGTGATTACCCCCCCCCCCCCTGGCCTCATTCCCCCAACTTTTTTGTTCGTGAAGGGTGAGAGGGGTCTGGGGGTTGGGGACGGGAAAGTCCTAAGGGGGGGGGGTTGCGGGAGGGTTAGGGGGAAGGGTCCTTGCTTTTTTTTTCTTGTTTGGTTTTTGGTTGTTGTGGGGGGGATAAGGGGGGAGGGGGTTCTGATGGGGATATTTATTTTGTTTTGGTTTTAGGGCTTGTCTTTCGGTCGAAGGTTCTCGATGGCCGGAATTTTTAAGAAAGTTTTCTGCTTTTGATTTCAGGGCTTGTTCTGTGAGATTAGAAATCCCGCCTTCATTCCCTATGCTTTGT